AGCTTCTGTGGTCTAGTTGGTTATGGCGTCGGTCTCATATCTATATGACGCTTTCCTTAAGCGGAAATCCGAAGGTCGAGAGTTCGATCCTCTCCGGGAGCACTTTTTGTGCCAATTCACAACTCACTGGTACTTGCATTCTAATCTACTGATTTTATGTGAAGGATTACATGAAGATCATCAAAAGTGTTCCTATAGCTCATTAGCCAGACTTGAGAAGACAACTGAGATCTACCCACCTTTGCGGGACGCATATCCAGTTCCAATGTCCAGGCACTCTTGTCCTGCAGGTGCAAATATACATATGCCTATTATTGACCATGAGCATATCGCTCCTCATCAGCACCAGTGTTTCACCCACCTTGGCAATGGAAGCAGGATCAAGTCTCCGAGTTGGATCCTCTAACCAATTCTTGTCGTCATCTGTCTCACCAGGTGTCTGTACGACCTGCTTCTTTCCACCAAACATTCTCTGGACCGTCTTGGTAAGGATAGTCCCATCAATCACGACATGCGCGACATGAATCCCCTGCTTTCCAAACTCCCTAGCGAGACTCTGGGAGAGTGCCCGTAGGCCATGTTTCCCCGCTGCAAATGTAGCGAACGAGGCAGCACCTCGGGTTGAGGAGCTTGCTCCGGTGAAGAGAAGCGTTCCTCCTGGTTGGCTGTCGGATGTACTGCTGTACTGTTATAAATTGGGTAGACCTAGAGGACCGTCTCACCTTTGAATTTGGCTCGGCTCTAGCATTGCCTTGATTGCCTCTTGGGACCAAGCAAAAGCTGCAACTCTGTGCTTACGTATAAGTCGCAACTACTATTGTAGATTGAGATTCATACATGTTGATTTGTACGCTCTTTTGAATGTCCTAAGATCGAGTTAGTGGCGACTTCGTCGAGTTTCCTTCATGTATGTGGAGATATACCTCTTCTTTTACATCTAGAAATGGTATCCTAGACCACTGAGAAGCGTTCCAGAGCGCAGCTTTGATTCTCGAATCTGGCCACTTCTTCCTGACAGCTTGGAACACTGCTACGATCTCTTCCCTCGTGTATGCCTTCAGGGGGAACGGGAATGCCTATGGATGCAGAATTAAACCACCTCAATACCTGTTTGAAATGACCAGTGCATTGTCGACAGCGTACCTCTCCACCAGCGGCATTGATCTCGTTTGCAATGTTCTGTAAGTCCTTTAAACGTCTTGCTACGAGAGCAATCCGATAATTCAAGGCTCGTGAAAACTCCCTCCTAGAAACAAAAGAGTATAAGTATCGTCGAGCATGATCCATTGCTTCAAAACTCACGCAGCAGCAGCTCCTGTTCCTGTTGCAGTACCCACTCCTGCGACGATAAAGATTGGTCGACCCTCCATGCCCTGTCAATTTGCTTATCCAGAGAGCTATGGTAGACTCCAAGTTTGTAAACGAACCGGTTGTTGGCTTGCCGGTAAGGCTCAGCTCCGTCTATTTCGGACCTCCTCTTACGATTAGAGATCAATATAAATATGCGAAAGCAAACATATGAGAATTCAGGCATCAAAATCGAACAAATGAACAGCGGAAATATATGCAAGAGCAATGTCCACCCGGG